CAACCCCTACCAGTTGCTCACTGCTGTTGATAACCAAGGAAACCCAAATACCCCTTTTCCTCTTGTTTTGGCCGCTGTAGAAACCAGTAGTCATGTTGGGTAGATAGTCTGGATCATGGTAGTTGTGATCCAGGCCATGAAGATATTATCAATGGATTTCAGAAAGAGAAAAGGCTTTGGACAGAAGTATTCTAAACCATAAATATGTTGGCACAGTATGGACTCATATGAGTACTTCTAGCAGTGTTTTTAATAAACATGCAGAGACCTATACAGACCACAGTTCAAGAAGGATATGAACAAACTGGAGTGTGTTCAGAGGAGAGCAACCAAGATGGTAAGAAGCCCTACGAGGAGCAGCTTAGGGAGCTGGATATGTTTACCTTGGAGAAGACAGGACTGAGATGATTTGTTAGCCATCTTTAACTATCTGAAGGGATATCATGTAGAAGATGGAGAAATCTTGTTTTCTGTTGCTCCAGGGACTAGAATGTAAACCAATGGATTCAAATTACAAGTAAAGAGATTGGGCAACCATTGGGCAGTATATTAATAAATTTTATTATATTATTATTTATTATTCCAACTGAACATTAGGAAGATCTTCTTGACTGTAAATATTGTTTGACAATTGAATAGATTGCCTCAGAGGGTAGTGGACTCTCCTTCTTTACACAGAGGTTGGGTGCTCATTTTGAGGGGACTAGATCTCTAGATGGCCCTTGCAGTCCCTTTCAGCTCTATTATTTGATGAACCTGAAGGACAAAGTCTTTCTACAAATCTGAAAAATTGTGGTTTGAGGACAATGTGAAGTAACTCAAAGCAGAATGATTTAAACTAGCTTCAGACTAGGCCTATGAAATGTTATAAGCATTCTTAAAGTAAAACCTAATGTTTAAATATTTTGAGTAACAGCAGTATTTTATCCTAAACTGTCATTATTTTTACTCTTCTGCTGCTATGTAGAGTATAATTTGTATCCCATAGGCTGTAATCAACATTCTACTAAAATAAATTACAAAATTCTGATTAATTTTAATTAGGGCTGCAAGCAGCAGGAAATCTGTGGCCGAGTTTATTTTATTAGATTTGCTAAAAGGAGCTGCTACATGAAAGTACATTCTTGTTAAATTTGTATCTCTACATATTCTTGTTGTGCTATGATTGAATCTCTGACTTTTAAACTCTCTGGAACTTTGCTTTATATTGCAAGAGATTTTATAGTGAAAAATATAACCAGGTTGATCTTAAAAGTTATCTTGATTTAAAACTAATTTACTGTATGCCAGTATTCTGATAGATTCTAATAATGTTCAGGAGTGATATTTAGTGGTGGGAGATGGAGACATGCTAAATTATTGCCCAACTGGAAATAACAGAGAGAGAGAGATTGCACAAAGATACCATTTGTCAGAACTGAGACAACTAAAACCTGGCATACATACCAAAGGGAAGGACCATAGGAGTGTGAACTCTAGGTGCACATGGTTTTAAATATTTTTATTTTAACTAATTTTAAATGTGACCACGTGTTTAAAGCCTGCACCTTCAGTCAGTAGCTAGGAGACATTCCTAACCAGTGCATCCATTTGCTGTCCAAGTAATTTGAAGTCAGAAGAAAATAGTTCAAGGGACAGTGTTAGAGAGTTGTCTCCTACTACCATGTGAGGTAGACCCTCCTCATTGGTACCTATTTATCTACTTGCATTTGCATTCTTTCTAACTGCTAGGCTGGCAAATCTTGGGTCTAGTGACAGGAGCTCATCCCATCATGTGGCACTTGGCCATTGAACTGCCAACCTTCTGATCTTATGATAATCAGAACTGGCATTTTAACCACTAAGCTAATGAGTCCCTGGCGACATACCATGCTGATATACTGCTGACATACCATGGCATAAATCCCATTGAAGGATAAGCAAGTGAAAGTTCATCTAATATTGTGGATGATCTCATTATGGCCTGTGATGACATTTCTTGAATAGATGTGTGGGCAGAGTTGGTATCTGGATTTGTGGCAAGGTTTTGCCCCGATGTGCACCTCTGTGTTGTGTGTCTTCCTGTTGGTAAGTAATAGTTGAGGTTTGGAGGCTGTCTGTAGGCAAGTAAAGGTTTTCCACCAAAAGTCCTTAAGAGGGTAGCATTATTGTCCAGAATGGGTTGTAGTTCATTGAGAGTACATCTACGTGGGTATCAGCTGGGAGCTGTATGTGACCAT